GTGTGTGTGTGTGTGTGTGTGTGCGCGCGTGTGTGTGGGGGATGTGTGTGTGTGAGAGAGAGCATTTTGTATGTGTAACAAAACACAAGTACATTGACGGAGACAGAAAAGATCTACTCGTACAATGAAATGTATTTAATCTGCACACACACACAAGAAACGTTTACCGACTCACCAGATAACCTTTTTCTTATCTACAGCAGTTTCGAGAAATCGACGATTTTCAGTTTTCTAATAATATCTGTTTCAGCACATGGAATGGTGACATTTCTCTTGGAAATGCGAGATCAACCGTTGATGTACTGTGCAAAATAGTTTAGATATAAAAAGGAAACCGAAAATCGTTCATTTCTCGAGACAGCTGTGAATAAGAAAAAGGTGTTTGGTCTGCGTACGGCACAGTTGACCAACAACGTTCTCTCTATCTCTCTATCTCACTCTCTGTGTCTGTGTGTGTCCGCCAGTGTGAACGGAGGAGAATTGTTCGAGCGTGTGATCAACGACGACTTCATCCTGACGGAGAAAGCTTGCGTGATGTTCATGAGACAGATCTGTGACGGGGTGGCCTTCATGCATTCCCAGAATATCCTACATCTAGACATGAAGGTGAGTGCCTCTGCATACTCCAGACCACTGTCTTTTCCGCCTGTTTCTTGGCGCAATTCCACCGAATTCGACTAAACACGATTGTATTTTTTGTTTTAGTAAGATTTTACGACGCTCACAACTGCATAAGGTCATATGAGCGCCTAGGGGTGGATGTCAACAGACCATCAATGATTTGTTTATAGTGGCACCACTGTGCTGTTTTAGCCAGGATGTCAACAGAGAAGTCTCTACAGGGAATCAGACTTACTCGGCTCACCTCTCTAGCTTCAACAGCACAAAGTCTTTTTTTTAGTAGAGGGTTTTACGGCACTTGCAACTGCATAAAGTCATATGAGCGCCAAAGGGTGGGTGTCAACAGAGAAGTCCTTACAGGGAATCAGACGTACTCGGCTCACCTCTCTAGCTTCAACAGCACAAAGTCTTTTTTTTATATAGTACAGGGTTTTACGGCGTTTGCAACTGCTACGATTATCAAGGCACCCCGAAAATAGCAGTTCATAAATGCATGACAAACATACACAAGAAGTAGAGGGGGAAATGACAATAGTAAGGATGAGGAAAGAAAAAGCGTTTGTTTTTTTCATGGGTAGGGAGTCGAATCAGTTGAATTGCGTCAAAGTGTTAGCTTTGTCCCCTTCATGCCAAGGAGGAAAATATGGCAGGCCTCGACGCTAGCACGTGTGGGGCATCATGGTAAAATCAGGCGCTCGTCAAAATAATGAAATCAAGGAAACTTACATTGTACTGACCGTTGTGCAATGTTTTTTAAATCATTTTTTAACACATTTTTTTTTGGGGGGGGGGAGGGGGCTCAACACCTTTTATTTCCATTTAAAAACACATTTTTCCTCTCCACTTTCCCTCCATCTTACCACCCCTATACCTCACCCTATCTCTCCTTTTCCCTATACCTCCCTTACAATCCCCTCCAAATGTTTTAATCTCCGCTGCACCTGCATCTCCTC